TATTCATTACTGAAATTGTCAGATTCATCATTTACCATAACTATGTAGTATTGTTTTTTTGGTAAATTACTAGACATTTGTATTATTCATCAGTTTGGTATAATTATTCATTGTTGAAATTGTCGGATTCATCGTTTGATATAACTATGTAGTATTTTTTTTTTTGGTAAATTACTAGACATTTGTATTATTCATCAGTTTAGTATAATTATTCATTGTTGAAATTGCCGGATTCATCATTTATCACAACTATGTGTTATTTATTCGTTAAATTTGTTCATCATTTTGGTAATTGGTATTCATCATAATTTGTTGTAAAATTTGTTTTGGGATAATCATCTGTAAAGGGATGTTATTCATTGGGTCAGAAATTATTATTAATTTTCCAATTACGCATGAGCGAAGAATATCAGACAGAATCTGAAAGAAGCATGAGCGAAGAACAACAATCAGAAGCCGAAAGAAGCAGGAAATCTGAATCTGCAAAAAGACCAAACCACAATAAGTGTAGACATTGATATAGAGGGTTATTCAGCAGTTTTGTAAACTAGTATTATTTTTTTGGTAAATTAGTAGATCTTTGTATTATTCATCAGTTTGGTATAATTATTCATTGTTGAAATTACCGTATTCATCAGTTTGGTATAATTATTCATTGTTGAAATTGCCGTATTCATCAGTTTGGTATAATTATTCATTGTTGTATATCATCTACCTCATGAATTTTTACTCCTTGTTTGCTACATGCAAATTGTTTCCAATATACAACACCAGATTTGGACATTTTCTAATTTTTGAACCTTTTTATTGAAAAAACAATCCGCTAGAATTATAAGCAGCAAAAGCCTCTTCCTCAGAGTTGAAACATCGTCCAATTATTCATCAATAAGAACTCGTTATTCATTAATTAACGTAAGATATTCATCATAAAAACGTAATAAGATAATACACCATCGGTCAGAAAACAACAATGAAATTCCTGTTCATCATTAACCATATAATACGCATTACCTTACGCATGTATATTCATCAATAAAACGAATACATTCTACATCAATCATCTTTCAATAATTGGATAACATTATTCATTGTCTAAACGTTGGTTATTCATTACTAGGAAAATACACATTGATTCTCCATATTCATAAGTCTCAATGATTAACCATAGTCAATTTTACTAAAATAAAATCCATCGTTATAAAAACATTATCTCATAAAATAAAATAATATAAAAGCTAACATGATAAGCAAATAAAAAAAAGGTTTAAAATTAATCGAGTGCCAAAAAAAAAAGGGATAAGATCAGGGAGTTAAATGCCAAAAAAAAGGATAAAATTAGGTAATTAAATGCCAAAAAAGGGGAGATAAAATTGAGTGATTAAATGCGCGTGTGGACTCCTTTTACCCGGGCTCAAAAATTTCAATTTCTTTTCCCTTATGTGTGATTCACGCACTGCCTAGGTACACCTTGCAATCTTAAAATTATTTGCCAGGGAAATTGTTGAATGCAACATATGAATAAAAAGTATATAAATACTCCTTCCGTTCCACAAAAATAATCCAGTTTCAAAAGATACAACTCTTTTAATTTAGTCAAAGCAATCAAAGTACAACTTATTTTAGTCTAAAACTTTCCTAATCTACCCCTATTATATACCAAACAAAAATTCGCCCAAATTTGAGACCTAAAAATCTAATCATCCTTTACTCACCGGAGACGGCGACTGCTGGGATGGAAATTTAGCGGCGAGAGGTTGTAGAAGAGGAATCAAAGATCTGATTACTCGAGAAAATTGGCACGCCATTAATTTATGAATTCTATCATCTTCTTTGTCAGAAGGAATCAATGATCCTTCGGATTCCCAATCGTAGGGGAAAGATTCCCGAACCTCTGAGTTCGATTCCATCATAGGAGAATTTTATGTGGTCGATTTCGTCGTCTCATGTTTCTGCTTTCGTAGCCTCAACGGAAAATGCATCGGAACCGAACTGCTTTGAATCTTTAGGTCTGTCGGCCAATCTTATTTCGATAAACCGGGCATTGATCTGAAGGTCTCGGTCGGACATCAAGGTGAAATGTACGTTTTTCGATAGATTTGATTGCAGACGATGAGTCCAAGAGATCAAAAATCTCAGCAACAGCGTCGCCATCTCACGTTCTCCGTCGACGTCGGAAGAATTCCCAGGAGTACTAATAGGCGATAATCGTTTGGGCTGACGATGTAATAATGTTTCACTGTGAAGGACGTTATAGTCAATTTGATTGTTTTTTATTTTGACTTTTTGAAACTAGACTATTTTCTTAGGACAATTTTTTTTTATCAAACTGGACTATTTTTGTGGGACGGAGAGAGTAATAAAGTAGTTTTAAAATATTATTCAATAATAAAAATAAAATTTAAAAAATTCAATAAATAATAAAGAAATTAAATTCTAAAAATTCAAATTTTAAATTTTCTGACATTTTCTCTTTTTTTACCCTGTGTGTCTCACTTACTCAACCTTACTACCTTTTTTAACCTTTCACCTTCAGACTTGTCAATTGCTCTAGATTGAAGTTTTAAAATGTATTTATTTTGCGAATGAGGATTTGGTTCAGTGATAAAATCACCCTTGCTCCAAGAGGAAGTCATGAGTTCAATCTACCACTCAAACAAAAAGTGAGGGGTTGGCTCTCACCTTGCCTATTAGCACATCTAGGAGCTTGTTATGGCTAACACACTAATGAACCTCCGATTTTGCACCCGAGCTTGTCACACCAGATTTATCTAAGGTGGTTTACCTCCTACTGTAGTTTGCATGTTATTGCAGTGGGCGTGAATTTACCATATCTAGTGGGGTTCCCGGCGTTACCAAAATATAAATATATGTATATATATATATATATGTATTTATTTATTTATTTATTTCACTTCTTTTTATTTCTTTAATACGGGCCTAATAAATTACTTTTAACATTTAACATTCTTTTTTTTTACCACTTAACCCATTACACTAATTCTTTTGATCAGCGAACAAAACAATCCTCCCGTACTAATCCAAACCTAATCAAAATTTAAAAGAAAAGTATTCTCAAAAGTACCTCCCCTTCATTCCACTATTGAGATTATCCCCATTTCTTTCTCTCAAGTAGTCCCAAGTCCTAACTTCTAATTCATTATGGATGGCCCAACTTTCCCGAATTGGGCTACATTTTATAACATCTGAAGTCTGGCATACATTACGAATTGAAAGGTCCAAAATGACTCATTGGTTAACTAAATTAATCGATAATATACAAGAATGGGGGGAGGGGTTCATACTTGGATGTAGTTATTACTATATAGTTTTATTTAATCGGTTGAAAATGGGATGCATTGAATTGATGTGTAAGTTCTAAGATTATTGCTTCCCAATTATAAAAGAAAAAAAATTCGAACCACGTACAACATAAAAGGTCAAAGGTCTTTCCTACATCCGCCACTTGATCAAAGAGCTTGAATTAATTGTTACAATGAAACTAAGTACAGTTTGATTTATAATTTGAACTAACATAACGTTTCATTGATTGTTGCATTAATTCGTTTATTTAGTTGGAGCTCTAAAACAGAGATCCCGAAAGGGACATTGTCTTAAACATGAAGGACCAACAACATAAATTTTGCTATACGGGAGAACAAAGTCATTGACAGATATTGACTAACATTTACACTTTAACACCCAAGGAGTCATGGGCGCCCGATTAGTCCCTAAATCATTAGGGATAAAAATTAAACCGAAAAATACTTTAGAGGCTAAAAATATCGGGAGTCATTATTTGGAATTAGTCCCGAGAATGAGCTAGAGTAAATGAAACTGTATTTTTTCTTGTTAAATTTATCAAAAAGACAATGGTACACATTGTACAGTACAACAAAGATATTAGGAATAAAAGACTACATGGATTTACTCTATCCATATTACACGGAGAAACAAATGGACATAGCAATATACTGTTATTGGATTGGGATCGCTCATCTGTCAATCTTGGAGGAGTACTATTTGAAATCTTTGATTTTTTTTTTTCTTTCTTTCTTAAAGTTGATTGTTTTGTTGTTTTTTTTCCCCCCTCTTTTTTCATATAGCAACTAGAACATTTATAGATATTTCGATAATTAGAACAGTTAGCCAAAGAAAACGTAATTGGTATGTTTATTTCGTTTTTTTAGTGTATTTTTTAAGAATTTTTTATATTGAGAATGTAAAAAAGTATGTTAGGATGAGACAATTATTAATATTTTAATTTAAAAATACCATAAAAAATGAAATAAACAAAGCCTAACTTTTAAAGATCCCCAACAGCCATATAATACAAATACAAAAGGGCAAGACAATAGTTGTACCAAATCCACATCAAAGAATTGCGAAGAACTAAAGAGGCCCAACTTAATCAACATTTGCAACTAGTTGTTTGGATTGGTCAGTTTCCCATCTTTCCTCCCATGCTCTATTATGTCCCCATGATTGAGATCCCTTCTTCGGTTCTTCTTATATGCTGTTTAAATGTTCATCAACTGAGATAATTCTCAAATCTCAAGCATCTGCTGTTCCCCACTTTTTCTCCTTATTAGGTGGCATATTTGCATCTTTCCTGTTCTTTTGCATCAAATGTAATCAATCATTCCTAAAGGGCTAAAAAGAGACCAATTTCAACTGTTGGAAGTATTGAAGCTTCCAATAGTTGACTGGGCCCCTCTATATAAAAGCAAAATTGTTCTACTTCTATTTTTTATTTTTTTTAAAAAAAAGGAACTGGAAATTATTTGTATCAAAATCTTCTGTGACACATGACCATTCGTCATCGCCTTGACTAACCTAAAAACTTTGCATGATTTAAAACAAAACTTTGTATCAATCGTTATTGGATGATTTAATAACAAAAACAATGAAATTAATGATTGATGGTTGTGTTTCTTACAGGAAGAAAGAATAACTTGTCTAGGAAGTAGACTAAATCAACTGGCTAGAAAGCATAGACTCTAGGGAACCTCATTGTGTGAATCACATTAGCATTCATCGTCTTTTCGACTAAACTTCCTTTTAGGAGAAGAAATATGTGAAAGGGAAACCTAGGAAATGACACTGAAGTGATGAAAAATATCAGAAGGCAAAATTGTGGAACAATAATATTGAATTATACGTCTGAATTTTGTATCCTCTCTCTTAACATGATATGATACAAAAAACCAACATGACCAGAGAGAGGAGGAAGCAATGGCAGAGATGACTTGAGTCATCTAATCCATTGACAACAGATAAAATTCCTTTATGTACAAGGGTAAAAATAAACTAATCATAGGGATGGAGAACAAAAAACTAACCCCCCAAATTGTACACTTAGGGAAACGAATTTCGCACTACAACGAATACTTTAATTTCGCGGTGCATCGCTATCCTACTTCTTTTTCGCTTTTCTGCACAATCTAGTATACAACATTTTCTTGGTATGTTGATGAAACTCACTGTGGTTTTAAGAGACATAAGTTTGGCACCTGGATCTGTAATGATAGGCCTTTGCGAAATACACGAAAGCTATGAATGTCACGGCGCTGAGTCCGGTAAGCAGCCAATAGAAGTAGTCAAGGTGACCCTTAACCACATTATCAGAGAACCAACTTTCATTTCCATTTCCACTTGTGGCACTCTCAATCACAGAGATGAGAATTCCACTAAGGAAGCTTCCCACGCCGAATATGGTGAAGTATAGGGCGAGGCCGATGCTTTTCAAATCGCTAGGGACCTGATCGTAGAAAAACTCTTGTAAACCAGTAATGGTGAATGACTGAGAAACTCCCAATAACAGATATTGAGGTATCAACCAAGCCACACTCATTGGTACTACTTGGAACGGATATCCGACTAACCCTTTTTCTTGAGCGATTTCAAGACGCTTCCTTTCAACCAGAGCAGCAACTAAGATAGACAGAATCGAGAAGAATATTCCTGTTCCGATTCTTTGCAGCATTGTTATACCGGTAGGTATTCCGGTTATGGCTCTCGCGACAGGAACCAGAACACGGTCGTAGACACAGAGGAAGATGATCACTGTAATGCTTGAAAATACCTGCAGAGAAGCAGCAGGAACTTCGAAATTTGGAGTGATGAATCTGTCCATTGTAAGTCCTTGCTTGGTAAACAGAGTTGGAGGCTGAGAATATACAATTCCATATACCAAACAGGACAACCAAATTGGAAATAGCCTTAGAACTGCCTTTGCTTCTTCAACCTCACTTATGCTACAAACTTTTCCTTCCCTCATTGAACCCTCCGGTGCAAACAATGCCCTGTCCAAAAACCTACAACAATTGAAAAATGTCATTAATTTAAGGAAATCTAATCGACTTCGAATGGAGCAACTCTTTAAGAACAAGTTAAAGATGCGAAAACAGAGGGTACTCTGTTACTCACTTGAATTGTTGAGAGCCTAAGTAAGGCAGGACATCTTGACTTTCCATATCCATACACAATGCAGAGGAAGTGATTCTCCAATTCTTAACCGCTTTCACAAATACACGACCAATACGCGAAACGGGTTGTGTTTCAGCACATTTAACGTGGAAACGATACGTGACAGTACCAAGCAGAAACCAAACCAATGCGAAAACCATCACCAAACAGGGGATTCCAAATCCAACACCCCAACTGTAGTAGTCTTGAATGTAAGTCAAGATCATTATTGTCAGTGTGATGGCAACACAAGTACCGACCCCACACCAGTTGAAGAACGAGCTTTTGGCTTTACATTCTTCGATATCGGATCCATCAAATTGATCAGCTCCAAAGGCATGAACACAGGGCTTATGCATTCCTTGCGCGATCGCCATTAGATACAACGAGAAGAAAAACGTTGTGACTTGAATCTGAGGAGGAGGACATGGAATGCTACTACTATTTGATGCATTATGGCAATTAAACGAACCCAATGAAGGAATTACAGCTGAAAGAGTCAAGAGCCCAAGTGCCTGTGATTCAAGAACAATCAAAATGAATGATCAGATTCACCTCAATCATGTTCAACAATGTGCCTTATTGAAAAATCATAAAATAATCAAAGATTATTCTCTCCAAATTGACTTCATTTTTTTTTTTCTTTTTTGTCATATTTTAAAGAACTCAGGAGTGATCAACTGCGAAATGCTATCCACAATTCCCACGACTCTGACTTCATTTTTTTTTCTTTATATTTGATTCATTGAATTGGCACCCAAAACTTGTGGAGTAAACTCCTAATGAATTGGTTTCTAATCATTGCAGCCGGCAGATTCCTTCTTCACGAAAACGTGGATTCTAACATACATCAAACTTTAGAATTCTCATTCTTAATTTTTTTTCAGTTCAATAATGGATTAATCAGAAACAACCTAAACTAGTTGCTAGTGTTGATGGGGATTGCTTGATCATGGTGGGTTACCATTTTTAAGAACAACCATCATTAATTTAGTCTTTAAGAAAACTATAACTTTATTAAAGAAACATTGACGGCAACATCTTCAAAAGAAAATCCAAACAATAGAAATGATGGATGATACATGCACTTTATTCTTAAAATCGACATCAGTCTACAGTTACCTTATCTTTTTTATGCCACTTATTTTAGTAGTCCATGGATAAGCTCAAAGAGCAAAAACAATATCATAAGTCATGAGTGGAATATTGGAAAGGAACAACCGAACAATCATAGTAACAATAATGGGCTTTAGAAAAGAAAAAAAAAATATGAAGAAGAAGAAGAAAAAAGAACACTCAACACTATTGGTAATCAACTTTGGATAAGAGAAATTGATTGAATGAATTTAAAAATGGTGAAGGAAATTAAAAAAGACAAGCTAAGCCAAACATTTCCTATCCCACAGCATATAATTTGTCTAGTTGTGTATGTAGTTTCTTAAATTTTCAACAATGACACCACTTGAGTGAATATCAATCAATAATGAAATTGTATTTTAGCCCTCAAAATGAATGTAGTATTTGAGGGGGCAGATTTACCTTATGGTTATGTTATTACTGTTGTCTTGAAACTACACAAACGAGCCAGGCTACTGGTTATTGTACTAAGGGTTAATCTTCATAACATCGGAACATTCCTTCGGATTAAGGTTTGGTTCTTACTTAAACTGGATCTTGCTTTAAGAGAACATTAAACGCTTCAAAGTTCCTTACACGGCAATCAACTTGATATGTACACTCAACTCTCAATTTCCGTTGGTTTGAAAAACTAACATTTGACATAAGCAGCTTCTAAATTTTGTTGTACGTGGCTAGATTTTATTGCACATAAACACTGCCTCCCCATGTAATGGGCGCCAATGAATTTCATATTTACAAGCAAAAATCAACATCAATCGATCAAGAATTTAATCCTTCTAATTTTAATTGACTATAATCTTACAGTGCAAGTTATTGTGTAAATATGTTGGTTCTATTTCCGGCAAAGCATTAGACATTACCAAAAGCGAACGGTTAATAATAGAAAGTAGGAAAAGTAGAGTGTACACATTAGAAAAATTGTGGATAAATTAGATATGAGTTTGGTTACTTTGGTAGGACCCAGACAAATTCAGGTGGGAGAAGACTTTTTGACACATTCTGACATTTTTTTTTTTTACTTTCAGCCACTTTCAGTTCAGATCACAGCAGTATCAAGTAGTAAAAAAACAAATTGCAAAATTTTGTAACTAGGGTAAATTTTGAGTTACTATTTTCAGAAAGTGTTTTCATCAATCATCATGAATCATTAATGGTCATAATTATGTTTGGCCAATGGTTTGCCCAATCTTGCCCCCAACCCAAAAAAGGAAAGAAGGGAAAAAAAAATAAAAAAAAGCAAGAAACAGTAAAATTTACCAGGATGTATAAAACGGAAGCTACGATGATCGTCCGGTACCGGCCGAGATAAGTATCGGCAACAAAAGCACCTAATAATGGAAGGAGTTGGGAGGTTCCCGACCAAGCATTGACGTTCTCCGCAGCCGTGGCGGTGGATTGACCAAGGGGGCCCGTCAAATACGTTATTAAATTTGCACTTATTCCATAATACGCGAAGTACTCCGCCATTTCCACTCCTTCAAAATTATTAACATAAAAAAAACTATATTATAAAATTTAAGTCCTATTATATAGTGTAATTATTTATTATTGAATGAAATATATGTGTGGTTCTTGATAAACATAGATACCTATGATGAAAGAAGCCGATAACCATCCACCGGACTTTGATCGCCTCACCGGCCGGCCTTTATAATCCACGTTACCTTCAACCATGTCGTCGTCCTCTTTAAATAACAACGGCGTTTCCATGGCCGGAGAAATACTTCCGTCTTCGGAAACAAACACCATGACTCTAGCGTACTATTCGTACTGTAGGTAGATATGTAATATATACACGACTCAGCTAGCTGCCTGAATTCTGTTTTCCTTCGTCAGAGAAAAGAAAAATTTTGAGAGGGAAAATCTTGAAGATTTGAGTCGCTTTTGCTTTTGCTTTTGCTTTGCCTTTGGCAGAAGTTATATTGAGTACTCTATATATATACATACAGAAAGATGGTGGCAAAAAAAAATAAAAATTATTACACTAATAATGGTAATAATAATAATGTAAGGGGGGCGACTGGGAAATAGTAACAAATTGAGAAACTCCCACAAGCTACAATAAGATGACGTTTGGAGGGGCTGTTGGGAAGACAAGTAACCAAGGTAACATTAGTGATGTGTACCAATAAATTGTTATTCTAATTCGTATGAGTATCGCTTTGGCTCTAGAATAATTTGGAAATTCAAATTAAATGCAAAGGACCAATTTTTTTTTTTTTTTTTGTTTCATATTATTTCAAGAAGAAAAATAGTGGATCTCGTTTACTCTGGGAATTTGAAGTCAATTAATTAAATGAATGATTCTTGGTGTCAAATCCCAGCAATGTGAGTATAATAATAGATGAGAAGAAGAAAAGAGAAGAAGCAAGACGGAGGAAATTTGTTAATGGAGGATTTGATGTTTGAATCATGATGGTCTACACACTACCATTTTATTAGTTTTGTTCTGATTTGGTTTGTCACGAGGTTACAAACAATGGTCTTGATAAAAATGATTAAAAGATGTTTGTATCAAATTCGATCAACACTTGTCTACATATCACTTTTTATGGTGATGATATGACAAATACTACATATTTATACATCCTTTTTGTAACCTAGTAAAAGGGGTACGTCTAAAATATACAGTGGAATCCTGCACTGGCGTCTAACAATAATCAAATTCATAAAATAAATTACACTGCTAATAATTACTTATTTATAAATTATATATATATATTTTTAATAAATGCTTCGATAGTTATGACTATCTCGCTTCACTATATACATTTTAACTTATTTCACCATTTTCGCATCGGAAATATATTAATCCATACTTGAAGAAGTACACCACATTCATGTAAAAAAATATAACACAGCTAATACACTATCTTTTATGCTTGTAATAATCTTTCGTACCTTTTTGTTGTGAAGGAACAAGAAGAAGAATGGTATCGGCTTTATTAAGCTGCTTTGAGAGAGAGGAAAACATTTGTAGCCCCCAAAATGAGTTTTGTCAAAGTATCTTGTTGGAAGATTGGAATAAAGGTATGTTTTTTTTTTTTTTACTTGATTAATAATTATATAAAGTCGTAAAGCAAAGTGTTAATCCCACTTGTTGAATGAAAATCGGCGTTGCCGACTAGAATTGCTGGAGCAAATTACATGTACAAAAGTTAATTTCGGTCTCAAAATAATTGCTTTGATTTTTTCTTTTCTTTCATTGCAAAGAAATTAATAATTTTGTTAAATTTAAATATGTACAATAAGTTAGGACTATTTTTAGAGGAGAGAGGTAATACTATTTTAATGAGTAATAATTTACCATAGACCTTAAAGGAAAAGTGATAGTCTAGTACTTTGAAAACTAGCAACATGTGGATATCTATAAAACTTAACTGACCAAACTCCATAAGGATTGTTTTCTTGCTTGAACCAAACGATAGGGACCAAAAGTAAAAATACAAAATGATTGCATTCTTCTAGGATTTCCAAAATAGTTATTAAAAAAAATTTATCGTGCAAAGACAAATGCAAAGATCCAGTAAAATTTGCAGTCCTGATTTTCTATAAGATTAATGTCAAAGGGTCTAAAAGTATCATGTTTTAAACGGACTAACTTGTCTAATGAATTAAACATAAAGGACCTAACATGTGATTCTTCTATTAAAAAAGAACAGATTCTCTCATGGAAAAAAAAAAGGGTATACTTATTGATGGAAGACATGGTGGGGTCAGGCCATGAATTATACGGATAAGTAGGCCAAAAACCCAACGAAAAAATAAATAGCAAAAATACAAAATAGCTTAATTCCATTCCTTATTAGATGATCAGGAAGAAAACGTGAGAAGAGGACACATGAAAAATAAGTTAAGCAAGTGCTAAGGTTTGAATTCTCCACTCTTTTAATTTGATTTGATTCTGATAAACCATCGGTATCAAAGGAAGAGTCCTGCTAAACTAAACATAACAATCAATATACTATTAGATTAATTATAACATTGAACTAAACATATTCTTATTTTGACGCAATATTAAAATAAGTGTGTATTTATCGATAAAAATTCAACGCAAAATGATTTCAAGGAGCTCTGATTGGCTCTAAACTTTTATTGGGAAGGATATTCTTAGAGTCAATTGCTACATAATGTATATCAAATTGATTTATTTTATTGCGCAAAAAATACTGGATCCATAAAACCATTTTGTAATGATTAAGACTTTGAAGTTGAAATTTAGGATATATTAAGAAATGGAATATGCTTGCATTAGTAAAATTAATGTGATTAAATGAATTTGGCCTAAAAGGGTCTTAAAATCTATTTGAAATGGTCCTGAAATTCATTTTGGCCTTTGAGAAATACTGATAGGAAAGAGCTAGGAAATACATCGATTATTTCTTGGACAAAAAAACGTGATTCCTACCGTCTAGTGCCTTTATATACGAAAAAAATATATTATCAAGTGTTTGTTTTGGATGAATTATTTTAATATTTTTCGAATGGTGGAAGAGAAAATAATCCAGCAGCCCTTAGAAATTTCCGCACGCTGCCAGTTGATCTGAGAGTCACCTCCTAATAATGATTGAGCTTGTGGTATTTTCGTAATTTATACATTGGGAAAAAAAGAATAGAAATATGATATGCAAGAAATATCTGATTGGTTTCCTGAGGTAGTAACTACTGCCTTTCGTATACATTTTATTACAAAAGAAATTGTTAGAGGCTCATGTAGCAATGATTGTGAATCCCACATTGAAGGTATAAAGATATGTGAATCAGTTAATAAGTAAGGTAGACTCAGGATCTATTAACTTGAGTTTTTTAGTCCAGATGGGTCTTATCTTACTTATTAGGCTCTATGTCGGGTTTTCTCCTCCGGGTAAACCCCCAACAGTGGAATCAGAGCTACGGTTCGATTTGAGGTGTTACATTAATAAAATGAAAGAGTCATCAGGTGCTGGTACGATGATTAAATTGACTTCATCCAATTATCATATGTGGAAGCCTCGAATGGAAGACTTGTTGTATTGCAAAGATTTGTTTGATCCTATTCTAGGAGATGAAGGTAGGTCAAGTGATATGACTGATAAAAAGTAGGCCGATTTCATCCAGTTATCATATGTGGAAGCCTAGAATGGAAAACTTGTTGTATTGCAAAGATTTGTTTGATCCTGTTCTAGGGGATGAAGGTAGGCCAAGTGATATAACTGATAAAAAGTGGGCAGATATCCACAAGAAGATTGTTGATAATATTCGATAGTGGATTGATCAAAGTGTGTTTCATCACTTTTCGGGAGAAACAAAAGCTGAGGAACTTTAGAAGAAAATCCAGAATATGTACTGAAAGAAGTCCGGCATCAATAAGTCATCTGTGCTGAAACATATTACCAGGTTGAGGTACAAAAATGGTGCTAGTATGAATGAGCACTTGAGTTCGTTTCAGGGTTTGCTGAACCAGACAGTGAATGTAGGTTTAAAGTTGAATGATGAGGTAGAGACTTTGTTATTGTTTAGTTCTCTTCCAAACAGTTAGGACACTTTGGTAGTGTCATTCAGTAATTCAACCCATGATGGTATCTTGACCTTGAATCAGGTCAAAGAAGCTTTGTTGAAGAAGAAGTCAGGAGAGAAGAACAGAGTATTGAGTCTGAATCGCAGGCTCTGGTGACAGAAAAGTCAGACAAAAGAGGAAGAAGTAAAAGCAGAGGGCCACGTGATCGGAATGACAAGTTCAGGGGATGGTCTAAATTCAAGAAAGATGTCGTGTGCTATTATTGTCAAGGGAATGGGTACTTTGAGAGGGAGTGCAAGGTTCTCAAGAGAGAACTAGTAGCGAGAAAAGGTAAAGGCAAGAAAGATGAATCAAGTGATGATGACACTACTGCAGTAGTAACTACCAGTGATGTATTTGTGTACTGTGATGATGATACAATTAATGTTGCGAGTCACGAAAGTGTTTGGTTCGGTGATTCAGGTGCGTTTTATTATGTGACGGCTCACAGACACTTCTTCACCTCTTATACACCCGGAGATTTTGGTCATGTAAGAATGGGCAACCAAGCCTCATGCGATGTTGTCGGCGTGGGAGAGGTATCATTGGTAACGAATACAGATTGTACTCTTGTCTTGAAGAATGTAAGACATGTTCTGGATATGCGTCTCAACCATATTTCTGTTGGCAAACTTGATGGTGAGGGTTATCATAGCACTGAAGGTTGTGGCCGTTGGAGAATTATCAGAGGGAATCTTTTTATTTCTAGAGGAAAGAAATTGAACTCGTTATATGTGTTGAATGCAAAGTTAAAGAATGGAGAAATGAATGTAACTCACAATGCCTCCATGATCTCTGGCATAGAAGGCTTAGACACATAAATGTCAAGGCGCTGTAGATTCTTGGTAAGAAGCAATTTCTCCCTGAGGTGAAAGGTACTGCTCTAGAACCTTTTGTTGACTGTATCTATGGTAAACAACATAGGGTTTCCTTTCAAAATTCTCCTCCATCTAGAAGATCCAGTCCTCCAGAGTTAGTTCATACAGATGTATGTTACATGAAAGATAGGTCGTTGGGTGGTGCGTTGTACATTGTTACTTTCATTGATGACTATGCTCAAAAAGTTTGGTGTTTTTCTTTGAAATCTAAAGATCAGGTATTAGATGTGTTCAAAGACTTTCACCTTAGAGTTGAAAGAGAGATTGGTAAGAAGTTGAAGTGTGTTCGAGCAGATAATGGTGGTGAGTACAGGGGTCCGTTTGAGAAGTACCGAGACCATGGTATTAAACTTCAGAAGAGTGTTCCGAAGACTCCGCAGCAGAATGGCGTGAAAGAAAGAATGAACAGAACTATTACTGAAAAGGTTAGGTGTATGCTTTCGAATGCGAAGCTGTCTAAATCTTTTTGGGGTAAACCCATGCAGACATCAGTTGATTTGATAAACCTATCTCCCTCAGTTCCGTTGGATGGTGATCTACCACAGTGAGTTTAGACAGGAAAAGATGTTTCATTTGGACATTTGCAAGTTTTTGGTTGTCGTGCCTTTGTGCATATTCCCAAAGACGAAAGGTCGAAACTTGATGGTAAATCCAAGCAGTGTGTATTTT